TGTTATGTTTGTAATGGCATTCATTCCTGCTTAGTTAGGGTTTGGAGATGAAATAAATAGTGCTGATAGAAAGCAGAAATTGAACAAGCCTTTTTATCAAGCTATCATTCAATCAGTCTTTTTGATAATCGTTTTAATGTCATTTCGAGCTTATGCGTGAAAGTGGGCAGGAGAAATCAAAATTTTTTGCCCATCAGTTAGGAAACACATTTAAAGAGACCTACTGCCTTCCGAAGGATGGTCCTCATGAAAAGCACCATTTCCTATTTTCTACAGCCTTTCCTACAGGCTTGTGCAACAATGTGCATTAAAAAGCAAGGGAATGTTGAACATTGAAGAATGATGTAGATTTGAGCAATTGACTTGAATCACAATAATTTATATGTAATATAATGTAGTGTGTTACAAGAAAGATAAAGGGATAAAGTTTTTGGCGTTAATAAATCCCGTCTGGGTGTTGCACCCCGCATTCGATTTCCGATCAGGATCCTTGACTGGCTATGGCCAGCCGGTGTACAAATCACTGGTTTTATCCACCCAGACGAGTTCGGTACTAATTAACCCAGTGCGTAGTGCTTTTGCGCTAACTGCCGCATGTGCCCGGCGTTTTCTTCACAATCGACGCGGCGACGTAGTCCACGGCGTGCAGGCAGCCACACAGAGCGGTTGTTTGAGCGAATCGCGAAGTATAGGCTGTTCGAACTTTATTAAACTCTAGAGTGATTTTGGATGAAAACGCGGAGGCGCAGAGGCAAAGGGGCGTGCTGCACCATGTCCACCCCGCGGTACGCAATGGGTTAACCAGCCCCGGAGGCGCGGAAGGCTTTGTCGGCCTAGGCGGATATCGATCTGGAATCGAACCCGTGACTACTCATGTGAGATAGTGCGTCATTTGCCACTACACTACCTCCGTGCATTAAATTTCGCGTAATTTTTGTTCTATGTACTTAGGCCCCACTAAATCCAGCTTTTTCAACAGTAATGTCAACGACCTCCGCCGACTTACCACTTTTCCATCATATTGCGGGGTGGCAAGTCTGGTCTTTCTGTGAACAATAGCTATCATGAATGATGAGATACTTCATTTTAAACAATCCCTCTGGGAACGCGACAATTGGGTACTCCGATCTGGACCATTAAAGTACATGAATGTGTTTTCGCTCAATACGACTTCCAGGGCCTCTCGGTTGCTTTCGAAGTGAAGAAAGAGTAGATTAACTATGCAGTAGTCAGTGGCTCAATGTAATACTATTCTCTGACGAAATTCCTCCAACAGCTCACAGACGCTCGATGGTTCGTAGATCGCTCTTAGAACCTTCTCTGATATCTAAGGAAGACCGTGTGCTTTTACTACATCAGGCGTTATCTATATGGTTTCATGTATGAGCCTTAGAGACGGGTATAATGGTGGGACTTGTCGGCCTCGGGTATAAGGTCTTGCACCCGAACTGCGTCCGGCCCTAGTCGCACTCGCGGTGTGTGAGAGCGCGTACTGTAAAGGTAAGATTACGGTAACTGCCGTGTGCGTGCATCGGCTACATAGTCTGCCATCCTCGGTGCTATGGTGTAAAGAAGCAACAGGATGGGTTGAGACAGACGGTTGGTGGAACAAGGCGTGAAATCTCTCTGGTTGCCCACTGACCACATAGGAGATGCTGAGTAGGAGGTTTATGAAAGGAGATCAGAGAAAAGGGTTAAAAGAAGCGCGCAATAATGGAAAACCTCTGACGAATTCAGGCTAGAGGGCGAAAGCCTTCCCATGAGTAGGATAGATGGAAGTTTAAAGCTAAAAAAATGTATTCGTTTTATGTTGACCTTTGTGGTCTTGAACATCACAGACCTCGCTTCAAACAGCCAGATTCTGATTGCCTAAATTACCATTTTCGAAGTAGTCTACTTAAAGGCACAGTTCACGACAAAAATGGCTTCTGATATACCCCCACAGGATGAATTTGAGGCTCCCGCGTATAACATATCTGGCACTATTAAATCAGAAAACGGCCTAGTTAGGGAGTTATAAAGGCTCAAAAATTGGCCCGTGTGAATCTTCGGACGAGTTTCACCGGCAATGTAGAGGCTGCACTGTTAACAAGGGAACCCATGTAGGGAGTTAAAAGAACTTGTCTCGACCCACAGCGACATTGAAAGACAGTTCTGGCTTGATGTAGNCAGCTCTTTGTGAAATTGCAATAACTGAAATCTCGTCCGAATACCCCTTTCATGTTATTTTCGTCATGGCAATCTCGTCCAACCTCTATTTTGCCTCTTTTTGAAAAGCCATATTTTTCTCGAAATCGGCAAATCCCTTCGCTTTCTTCACTACCGACGGATTATTCCCAACTATACTTCCGCTTTTCGAATAAGAACGGGTTCCTCAAAATTGTCATGAACCCTGCCTTTAAGGCTATAACATACTAATACCAATATATATTTACGCCAGTATACTTGGATGGGTTAGTTTTAGAGTGATTCTAGTTTGCGACATCATTTTGGATGCTTTTGGTTCGTAAGAGTTATTATGAAGATCGAAACGGAATTTGGAAGATGGATAACGCCCACTCTTGCCCTTCTGAGCCGAGAAAAAAGTCACTCCTCTGTATAAGTACCAAAAAGTCACTACACTTCGAGGGCACAATATTTGCTGAGATGAGGTTCTTCTACATTAACGAACTGAGGTTCTGAGGTTCTTCGAAACGATTAAAATAATTAACTCGTTTACTGCCTAGAGCAATGACACCTGCGAAGGAAGACAACAGAACATCACTAGCTGTTTTTTTTACCATAAACTTCGAGCAACTGATTGTGAGCTCAAGCTACTCCTGTTAATTACAGAGGGACTCTTCCTACGTTCACAATAGATGGGCACAATTTGATCTCTTTATGTTCATCAGTTACTGGCTGTCGTGGCTGCTACATTTCTATCAAATACTTCGAGTCAATTTGGGTCTCTTCTCAGCTCCATATCAGGTACAACTTTCCCTATATACCAATTGGAATATACTGAGTGTCACCGTTCAGGAATGGTTTGGTGTGATTCGTTCAGTACGACCGTTCATTATCATTCGGCTGATACGATTAGCGGTCAAGTTTAAACTGCCGAGGGCCAGAATCGAGCAGCTACTCAAGTAAACAGGCTTGTTATGTTTTCTTTCCCATGTGCTTCTTTTGAAGATTAAGTTACGCACTGTTATTGGGCTGGTATGGATAGCAGACTAGTGATATTCGCCTACTTGGCTCTAGGTCATGGAACCAACTATTCTGGGCCCTATCCTCAGAGCAAACGAGGCCAAAATGTTTGATTCAGGGCCCAGGCCCAGGCTTGAGCTATTTTCCCGGCCACCATATCTCTGAATTTTTGTTTATGATAGAAATTGAAATTGTAAATCACCACTCGAAGCTCAAACCTCCAAAATGAGAGTGGGTTTACGGTCAAAATTAAATTTCTACTAGGGTTCTCAGGGGAGTCCACCATTGTTGCCATATCTGAAAAGGTCGTTCAATTCTAAAGAAAAGGATAAGAGTTTTTGAAATATATTACTATCGGTTTGCAATTTTCAGGAGATCAAGTCAGCAAGTGCAGAATGTGACGGTGTTCTTCGTGTTCTTCATGGCCTTGTATGCAATCGTCGGCATTCAACTATTCGGAAGAATGGATTACCACTGTGTACTTCCCAGTGAGTCCGGCTGACGTATTCATATGATCAACATATGGGGTGGTTGTATCGACAAAAAAAAATATGCTATCAATTTAGACTTTCTACTATTTTTATGTCTTTTCAAATTCACAGTCATTCTTACCTTCCAAACCCAGCTTTTCGTATAATCAACAGCGCAACCAAAAACGGTGCCTTAGACTCCGAACATATTTCTGGGATTCAGAATGGGCGTCCAGTCCTCGAATTTGCGGGTTTTCTTTCAAGTCAGGGGGTAGAAAGAATGAAGCAGAACTGATTCCTGGATTACGCAACCTTTTCAAATTCTATAGAAGCTACAGACATTTGAAGGGGAGACGGGCGTTAGGAACGATTTTGGGTAATCGATTTACCGCACGCGGCTGTCGCGGACCACTCATTCGCCGAT